TGGTCACTGTTTTATCAAACAGCACCACTCTTATGTTCGTTTTTGCTGAGGGAGGAAAACGAGCTTAAAAAACTCTTCTRGAAAGGGAAAAATTAAACAAATTAAGCTCTTGATCCAAATGCAAGATCCACAACTTCCTTTTTCACTTCCTCCCCCAGATCCGCTGATGCTCTTTCTTTCCAGGCTAAAGGTCAAGCGGTTCTATTGCTGCTATTTAATAGTACGTGAGAAGCTGTTAAATTGAATTGTTATTTTTTTTCTTTGTGTAATCTTTTTCTTAGTGATCACTATTTTACYAAYATGGCGTGGTTTAACWCTACTAAGCTRTTRATTGCMTGGTCAAAYCGAGTTCAGAATGTCTCCATTTGGAGACAATATGACGTGTCAACAAACGACAGCTTCGAGGTAAGTCTTCTCCCTACTTTCATATTACGATTGACGATTTCCATAGTGCGCGAGCTCTTATTTTCGGCAAAAGTATAAGCTTTGGAGGACTTCTCGAAAATACCTCGTATTCATGCTCGCGCCTGCGATATTTTTGAAAGCCTTCGCGCARTGACACAAAATCGTACCCAGGGACTGCACTTTTGCTGTCCAGTGGCTTCCATTTAAGACCGTGAAGACTCTGGGCTCGAGATTGTGTTTGGCACTTATTGTCGTTTGTTCATGCGTATTATCAAATTAATAAATCCAATCCAATGTTTTTTTTTGACCATGCATCATTTCTATAAATAGCGTTTAATTAAGGCATACCAATGTGTATAGTAAATTGTTTATTTAATCAAATTTAGACTCAGAGACAAGAAGTTGAAGATGGTTGGGTCGATATGTCAACMTACTTGGTAAGAGTGCGTCACTTTTTCAGTCGTTCCTTTTAGTTTTTTATTCGATTAATTTATTTTACTTTTCTGCTTGAATTCACAGAAACCCAACCCTTGGTTTTCTAAAGATGGCTCGTACTTTCTCACTAAATGGCCTTTTTCGCAAGGAAGCGCGGGAGAATTTCTACATATCGCTAAAATATCTGTAAGTGTGACAATGAAGGATGATGGTAGAATGGATAAACGAATAAATGTGTAAACGGAAGAATAAATTCATGAGCGGAAGAAAAAATGAAAAAACGGATGAAAAAATGAACGAATAGAAGTGAGAGGAAATGATAGTGAACATAGAAATGATAACAAAGAAAGTGATTAAKCTWGAGAGTACAAACGCGAGTACAATACAAAACATACTGCTCTTCTTTACTAACAGTACGTATTTGCTCTTGTAGACCGATCGAAATTCAACTATTACAAACTTAACATACGGAGAGTGGGAAGTTGATAGGATTTTAGCGTTTAACAGAGAAACAGAAATAGTGTAAGTGAAACACATAAAATATATTGTTTACTGTTGTAACCTTTAGTTGGCGAGTTCTATTTAATTGATAGATAACTCCTGAAAAAAAAGATTGACTTCATATTTCAGTTCCTTTTTTTCTTGTTTTCTTGATTTTTTTATTCATTTTTGACAGCTATTTTTCGAGCTCGGAGACATCGCCTCGAGAACTTCATATTTATAGCTTTAATTTACAAACGAAAGAAAARARCTGTCTTTCCTGTGGCGTTGCTTGGGCAAAAAGTAAGCAAATTTATCATATTACGTGGAATTTGATCTTCGAGTGAGCATAGCTTATTATATGGATTAGTTTGGTTTTGTTCAGTTATATAATTTTGATCGTACYTTATTTGTACAATTTTCTTCTCTTTTAGAAGGAAGGGAAAAGACTGAGCAATATTTTATCCCTCACTTTCTATTTATATATCCGGTAATTCTGACAATAAGTTCATTTCTCCAGGTGGYAGGTGCAAGTATTTTAGAGCATCGTTCAGTAATAATGCCTTATGGTACGTTYTGTATTGTCAAGGTAAGACAGATTGTAACGATGATACTGCTGTTGATGATTACTACAAAAAGAATCTTTCYTYACAGGTCCAGGTGTGCCTATCAGCTCCCGTCATAACGTAGAAACCGGAGAAGGTAAGAGTAGCCATCARTGGGTGGGGGGGAATTCCTTGTGAGTAGACATGCTCATCGTTCCAAACAACAACAATACTTTACTTTATTTACAAGAAGTATTGCTACCCGCAATTATTCTTGGCGGCTGCAATTAAGGTATTTAATTAGAATATAATTTACAGAAATAAAGAATAGGATATATTTACAAATATGAGAAAGAAAAAAGAACGGACGAAAGCCGAAATTTTATGATACACATTAATAATTCGACTCTTCAGTATTCCTTTTAGATGTAGTGGATGTATTGACTAACTAAGTTTTATATGTGACATTTTAAGATAGCAGTTAACAACAATGTCTTTTTTCAAAGATTTATCTCCTTTGGTGTCAGTAGTTGAAAAATAAAATCGAGAAATCTTTTGCGGGTGAAATTTCCTGACCGGCWTTTTCGATGGGCACTSCGAAAACACGTGTCTTTAAAATTCTCATGGAATTTATCAATTTTCCTGTAATTAATCAACTTTTCTGTGTTGAAGTTGTTATTCTACAGTCTAATGAATATGCAGTAAAGCAAATGGAAAAAATGATGATACCACAGAGGAARAACTTTAGATTTCAATCAGGGAAATACAGTAAGTGTGCAAAATGAATGATAATTGTTTTAAGTAATGCCCCGAGTAAGAACTAGGGAAGCAAACGGCACAGGAATGCAAGAAGGTGGTAATTGCGCATTGTATAATCCATCCATCCCATTGGTTAAAACATGAAAATCTGCTATAATTTCACAAGTTAGCGAATTTTCTAATATTTTATTTAATGTCTGTTTTCGCTTTCATGAAAGCTTTCTTTAGCTTTAATATTAAGGCAATTCTACGTGGGGAACATAGCAAATTAGAAGCATCTTTTGGCTATTGTTTTGAGTGCTTATGATTGGATAAGAGGTTTTAATACAAAAGAAACTTTGTTCAAAAATAGAGTTTATCCACATTTTATTTCAAAAATGTGTTACCCACAGATGGATACATAATCAGTGTGAAAACCAAGACATTTGTACATGGGGAACTTGTTATGCCGCAGAACAATAGAGAGTTCCCTAGTTCTTTAGCGCATTGTTACTTAAAACATATGAACGACGAACAACAACAGCAGCGAGACTTACTTCAGTGTGCTTGTACAATGAGAACCATCAACGAATTATCAATACTAGAAAAATAAATATTCCCATCTTAATTGATACTAATTTTATTTATTTTTATTTTACCAACAAGTGATAGATGGAGTGGAAATTCGTCCTCCAAACTTTGATCCTAASAAGAAATACGCTGTTCTTCTTGATGTGTAAGTCTTTGAAGCTGGGATAAACTTTATTTGTATTAAAAACCTATTTCAACAGATTCGTCTCCAGACTAAGCTCTGCCAGGAAGGAGACCTTAGCCTGGRAAGGARGCTATGGTATCATTGTCAAAAAGAGTTTCTTTACAGTGATGTCTTTTTTTTTTCTTTTCTAGATATGGAGGTCCTGGGTACCAAAGGGTATGATCTATRATATTGCATAGTCGTGATTATGGCTCACTTTTCTTCACGTTCATGTCATTGTTCGATGACAATGCGCAAAAAAATTGCAGACTCCGGGACACGAGGGTCCGGGAAAATAAAAGAATAAATCAAGATTATCCATTGTTTTCCTAGAGCCTCGTGTGCGTTCTTTTGTACACAGTTATCGAACCAAAATATCTAAAGTTGACTATTGTAGGGTATGTTTGGGACAGGACATGGCGGATTTCTTTTGTTTTCTCTAGAAACTGATCCCACAATGCATTGGAAATCAAGTAGTGACGTAAAAGGTTCAAAAGTCTATCAAAAGTTATTGCCGAATTGGACCAATCTGTCACTCTCCTGTAAATCAATCATTCAATCTATCACTCACTTTCCTGTAAATTTGAGACTGTTTTAATATTTTTCCGTTGTCWCTCCMTTTTATTTCTGCWTTTCATTTTTTCTATATCCCAAATCTATATCCTCTCCTTTTTTCCCAATCYGATCTCATKATTTTTGACATGAAGYTCTTTCCTTTTGAACTTGTGTATTTTAGGTCACTGAACAATTTACCTTGTCCAACACTGGCTGGAACGCGTATCTTGTCAGYAACTATGATATTATAATAGTCCGAATCGATGGTCGTGGACAAAAAAGCCGTGGCGAAAGGTTAGTAGAGAAAAGTCTCGATGACCAAGATAGACTCATATCAGATCACAGGCAGCCCAACCATTGTAAATCATATTACAGCGTTATTGCGAAATGTGGGTATGAGTAAAACGATGACTAGATTATTATTTTAATCTCCACACTCTATCCAATCCCTGGCCTAGGCTCTKTTACTTTACGAGAAGTTGCAAATKTTCAGTGTTTATATTGAATATCTATATCCAAATGATCTTTACATAGTCTAACCTTTAGTTTGATGTAAATATTTTTCACGTGTAGCAGAAGTTTCTTTCGTTTCCGGGTTTAGATTCAAACATGAAGTATACCTAAAGCTGGGTGAGTTTGAAGCTGAAGACACCATTAATGCCGGCAGGTACAGTGTTGTGCGATGTTACTGTTTATACAACGTTGGCTGCTTAATCGACCGATTGAGGTCATTGGGTTCGATTAGTTTCAGTTTGTTAGATCGGGGTCGTTTGCTGGATGGCTCTTTGTTAAGTTTGTTTGATTGTTCGTTTTTTGTTTTTGTAGTCTTTGATTGACTTGATGATTGATTGATCTGATGGTTGATTGTTTGGTTGATCGAATGACTGATAGATCTGATGATTGATTCATTAATTGATTGATCACCTTGTAGTTGAGTATTTAGTTACTAATAATCAACGTTCTTGTTTGTTTGTTTTCTTTACTGTTTTATCTAACTCTTTTGTTTTTACTGTCTAGGTATATGCAAAGCAAGGAATATGTGGACAAAGATAAACTTGCTATTTGGGGATGGGTATGTATAAATCTATTACTTTCGCTGCCATTAGTGTTTTTGCTCCCGACGACTAATAAGAACTTTCCAAAACTGTTATTTAAAGACTCCAGTACCTAAAACTCAACGAACTAGCGCTAATTATTGTWCGGAGTGTGATGTTGTTTATTTGTACATTTAGCTGTTGTATTGATGTTTTCAGTCTTATGGAGGCTACCTAACAACATACGTGCTTTCCAAGAATACTGGTGTGTTTAAGGTTGGACTCGCTGTGGCTCCTGTGACTGATTGGCGTTACTATGGTAACATGTTAACTATAATTGATATTCAGTAAAGTGAAGAGAGAGACTTGTTGAGAAACCCCCCCCCCCCCCCCTACCAACTATGTGTGAAGATCATTGTTTTGATGTCTATATATCATGTAAATCATCATCCAATATTTCATATATTTAGACGTTATTGTCGTCGTATGAAGAATCTGACGGTTACTTCAGAGGAAAAGTACATCATGTTGTACTGAAAAATTGCACTATTTAGATTTGACAATAAAACAAACTACATTGAACTAAAGAAACCGTTGGATAGGTGTTGCGGTACCGGGAACAAAGAAATGGGAATCGTGCAATGGAGATGTAATGCAATGATGATGTATTTTTCTTATAGATACTGCTTATACGGAGCGGTACATGGGACTACTACAAGACAACATGGCTGGATATAATGTAAGTCAAATGGCATAAATTATGTACTGTGTGATTGAGAAATATGGGCAGTTTTGCAGACACATGACCTCATTCGTAAGAAAATGGGTTTTTCAGCTCTTTAATATTGCGGACTTCGTTACTTCTTCAGTTAACCTCACTATTACGACGTGCCAGTCAGTTCCGCAACGTATCWTATCTCATTGTACACGGTTCGGGTGATGGTAAGTGGCTTCTTGTGTGATAATTTCATGTGTTTTTGTGACTGTTATTCGGTTGCATAGTGAATTGTGTCCAAGTRTTAGAAAGGCTTTAGCATTAACTTTGTTCTAGTACAGRCTGCGCAAAGGAGGCTAGTAGTAAATATCTTAACTATGCGTTTGTTTGTTTAGATAATGTACACTACCAGCATACAGCGCAAATGGTCAAAGCGCTGACKCTTGCGCAGATTGACTTCCGTGTACAAGTAAGTARAAAAGAGAAGCGAGCCCCAGAATWGCCTCTTTCAGCGTAATCTTGTATGTAGACTACAAATCTAACGTTCTTTCCAAGCATTCTCGACTAAAAACGGTAATTTCTCACAAAGAAAATYCGTGATCCAWAGTTTTCATGAGGACATCCRCCATGTTRATACTTTTATCAATATCATGATGCACTTCCTACCAAAGCACATGACGTCACTAGTGGATCTCATGCATTGTTAATGAATCGTTCAATGTCCAGAATTGGTTAGTATTGGTTGTAAAGCTGACGTTTTTTCTGCTTTATAGTACTATACAGATAAAGCCCACTCGATTGCTGGATCGAAAACAAGACGCCATCTTTGGAACTTGCTGGTTGAGTACTTGACTTCAAAACTAGGCTTAACTAAACTCACTTGAGATAACAAAACTATATATATATTATATATATGATTACTATAGCTATTTGATGTCCAATTCGATTTTTACTTTTCATATAAACTACTAGTTCCCAGCTGTATGCAAAATATCGCCGTCACTCATTGGTTACTATTATTACAGTTGGTGTAAACACTATGACGTCATCGCCGCCATGTTGGATGAAAAAGCATAGTTGTCAATAGTCCCAACATGACGGCGAATATCGCCGTCACTCATTGGTTACTATTATTACAGTTGGTGTAAACACTATGACGTCATCGCCGCCATGTTGGATGAAAAAAGCATAGTTGTCAATAGTCCCAACAAGGCGGCGAATACTTTGTAATTTATACTTTAAGATTTGGCACAACAAGAATACAAAATATATGCAATATCTTCGTACGAGTGACAAAAGAACTTCACGTCTACTGAAAAATAAAGAAATTGATGATGGTGCGCTTCAAATGTATGGTATAAAATTGTTTAAAAGTTGACCGATCTCGAACGCCGAAGCTTGCATGTGTCGCGATTTAAGCTTTGTTTCCGTGGCGAAGCAACTTATCTCACGGCAAAGTGATTTGTATCAAGTTGGAAATGTTTGTTGAAGAAAATAGATCTTTCTACATTTTCGCTAAAAAACCTTTCGATGTTGTGCGTATTACTACAACAAACCAACTTGTCTCAGCAAAATTGACGTTCCGTTACAATCAGCTGACTGCATTGGCCAATCAGAAATCAGGATTTACTCAACTAGCAACAAATTATTTTTCTGCAAGACAAGTTGGTAACGCGCTGCATCAGCGTTGCGAGAGGCTATTTGGAAGGTTTTCGTTAAGTGCGTGCGTTTGAAATGGCCTTTTCTCGCCACAAATCAGTATTATTCCTAATATATGTATCAACAATCGCAATAGAGCACTGTGACCTGGGAGAAAAAAAAGGCCGCTATAAATATTATACAAATCCAAATGATTCACTTAGTTACTGCACACGCCAAGTGTATGTACACGGTGATAAAATTAGGCATTAAAAAGACCAATAAAAACTMAAAAGTTGAGGCCAGCTTCTAGCCAGTTTGTTATCTTGTTGAGCTGAATTCGAAATAATAAAGATTTCCAGTGCTTTTGAATTAATTCAAGCCAGTCTTTGTTCCTTGTTTTGTTTTATTAACATAGAATAGGAACTCATAAGTCTGCCCCCCGTTGCAAAGCAATATTTCATAAGTRATTTCAAGATGCTTGGCTTGCGATTTTAACTCGAATGAGGAGGAATTTCTCTGAGAAGATTCATAAGAATTACAATGTTGTTACTGTTTTTTTTTTTTAATTCAAAAGTCACCTGCAATATTTATAAGATRAAAGAGCCTTTTCGTGAATTTATATTGCGCTAAATCACCTGTCYGGCCTAGACAAGAAGTAACCATAACAACAACTGTTGTTGAACTAAGAGGAAATTACCAGAAAAGCTCAGATATTTGSGATACAGTATTCCAAGGGGATTATTCCAGCCACATCACTCGAAGGCAACGTATTTTGGTTGTTAATATAACACCGAGCGCTCTTCAAAGTAAGTTTGTTTTGCTGTCACTTAATTCCGAGTAAAAATTATRAATCAAACGACGTTTTGAAGCTTTCTAGTTGTTATATAGCCCTACTAGTCTCGTACATAATATCATAATTTGCGTGTAAACTCTAGAATCGTACAGTCAAAGAAAATAAAATTAGTATTAGTAATTTCGCGAAGACTACTAGCATAGGTAAATTTCTCAGTTTTTTGTGATATGGAATTACAGGTTGTCAATTCACTTATTTGAAATACCATTTTATTCTAAAAGTTAAAGTTAAGGACATTCGAAATGTTTATTTCGGCTTTCAAGAGTTGATTCATGAGTTTGAGAACGTGGAAATGCTTTGACTATTTCATTTTTCAAGGTTCGTTCATTTTGTTCTCGTGATTTTACTAAAAAAACTGCAGGATTTTCTTAACCATCGGCCTAATCATCATCACACATTCATTCTGATATGGTTAACGTTATCTTAATAAATCGGACATGAATCAAAAGTTTGAATAAATATAAAAAGAAGCAAAATAAACAAATAAGTAAACAAACAACGAAGACAAGCATTACAATGCAAAACTATTAAAAAGTGCAAATGACGTGTTTTGACCATCCTTCATAGTAATTTGGCACTGAGAACGTTTCCGGTCTGTTCATAATGTACTGTTATTTAAAGATTGTAAGTATAAAAATTCAATAACGAATCTTACAGAGCAAAATTTACATTCTTTGACGAGCTGGAAAAAMGTGAAAATACCTAGAATAACATCCCTTTATTGCAGACTCTCTATTACGGACATTAATACGGACGCCCCGAGTGTGTCGGTGATAGCGGGGGTTGATAATGTTCACTTGCGGTGTTTATAATGTGTCAATGACCAGACGTTCACATTTATGATGAGATAGAGAAGAAACTTACGTTGTTTTGGCATTCGGTCAACGTAATTACACCGAGTCACTAAGTTAAGCTCAAATTGAATAAGAGTAAATTACATTTGATAGTTTGAAAAAACCACGGTCCCAGGGACTAAAGTCACTGAGAAAAGAATCCTGGAGTTTTACCTCTGACATGGAAACAGCGCATAACGACGAGACGCCAATAGSCGAATCTGAAAACAAAGACACACAATCTGTACAGAAAGAGGTAAGCAAAGCTAAGCAGTTAGTTCTATTACATTTTCATCACGGACAAGAGTCTAATAACTATTTTCCAAGTGCCGGTTGTATTTTCAGACTATGGTCGAATACGGAGCCCAAAAGATTGTTGAATATACATAGAAAAAGCGATTAATTCTCTCTAATTTAGCCTTAGTCTGCAATGTTTCCGTACGTTGCTTATTATAAGTGGCTGATATTCATGCGAACTAAATTAATTCATATGGAAGAAGTATGTTTGGACATTATTATTTACGACTTGGTATCTTCACAAGGGGATAATTGTAAGTGCCCGATGCTAGGGCCGCTCTGATGTATTATATATTTGTCAAATTAGCGCGCCTACGAGCGTTCCATTTTAATACCTTCACTTCTATGCATATATCTTCCAGAGTGACAAAACAGCGTATGTTGAGYTTGAAACCTTTGGCGTTAAACTTGTTATGTCTAAACTTCAAATTTTAATTTAGTATTAAACACTAACTGTAAACACTGATCGCGTGGTTTATTACTCATTGGAACTTGACTGTACGAATAAAAACATTGCAAATCGCAAAAAAAAAAAATCCCATCCATAATAAAAGTGTTTTGATCGGTGTTCCGATAAAAGTACTGGTCATGATCAGTACTCGAGCAGACTTAGAAACGTAGTATCATTACATCAAAGAACATATTTAGTTTTCTGAATTTTTGCGGTACACGCACATTCATAGCATCAATTGAATGAGTTATGGAATCTCTGCATGTTTCCATCTTACATGGGTTATTGTAACCYCGCTATTATTTTCAACCAATAGGATTCCTTCATAAAGAAATATTTAAGTGAAAGTTCTGGTGATGAAGAGGTTGCTAAGAGWSAAGACGAAAAGCAGAAGACCGAAGRAGARACAAGAAAATCTAAAGATATGAARAAGCCAAAACAGGGGTAGATATATCACACTCTTTACTCTTTACTGTACTATCTGAGGATGTTACCAATCTGAAGGAAGGAGTGGGGAGGATGTCACCAATCCCTGGAAAAAAGGAGGTTGGGGGAAGGAGGAGATCGGAGGGGGAAAAGCAGTTTTACTAATTAGAACATGAGCAAGTTAATCAAAACGAAACTGTTGTTTCGAATTAGATCGAATCCTGATGAAAACAAGGAAAAAGGGAAACCAAAGACAGATTCTTCAAAGAAGAAACAAACTGAAGAAAAACGAAAAAATAAAACCAATCGAGAGATCAAGAGAAACAGTAGGCGTGAACCTTCAACAAAATGGAAAAACCTTCGGCTCTTTGACGACGAAAGGTAACTAAATATGTTTTGGGGTATATTCTATATTCCTTAAACTTCAATGGACATGATCAGTGTYCAACTAGCAAAACAAAGTACTTCTTCGCACAGCTATCACACATATATAGACTTATAAAGGACGAAGGATTTGGATTTTGATGTTCTGAAACCAGTTTGATCAACGGCTGAAGCATTACTTAGTTTCACTTTTAAAATTTTCATGCACAAAGGTCAGGTACAAGGTACCAGCTTTACATATGTTAAAAGCTAGGTTCTTACGTAAAAGATATCGTTTTGACAATCCAATAAGGTCCAATAACAAAGCATTGTATTTACTTTGTAGCGATGAAGAGATAAAACCACAGAAACAGACACCAAAGCCAAAAAGCGTCGAAAAAAGAGCCAGGTAGGTGTACAAGCCGAAGAAAGCAAGGCAATCGAAATCGATTCGCGCGTGTGAGTATAAGATTCCTCGTACAATGAACATAGCACTCTTCGTCGCAGTTTATATCCCTGAATATTGATCAGACAGCGGAAACCGTACAGCCTTTAGTCAATCAATTAAAGCAAAGCATACACTTATGGCGCGCGATGTTTATAGTCGAAGGATGACGATGATTGAACGAAGAGCTACGATAGCAGCCCGACCTGAATCCGAGTACAGCGAGAGCTCGACGGAAAGCGATGAAGATGACGAACGAGTGATGGACGGAAAGATTGTAAGTCTATAATTTCAAAACATATCAAAATGATGTATCTAAGATGGTATATATTAGTTATCATGATCATCACCACCATTATCATCATCATCACCATGATACTCGTGCAACCATGTCATTAATTTTTTTTTTGATTTTTACAGAATGCAGCTGATCTTCCATCGGAGTACTGGCAAATACAAAGAATGGTGAGATTTTTAAAGGTAAGGTTCATTACCATTTCCAGGTATCAAACACCGCGGCCATGGTCACGTGATTCTCAGTTGAAATCTATCACAACATAAGTAAAACAAAATACTATTTTTTTYAAAAGATTGGAAATCCCACGGCGACTGTTCTGTGTCTTTGCGCMTTAAAAGACTTCAATCTAACACAAGAAATGAGTCAAATGGCCATCCGAGAAGTCAACGGTCTTCAAGTCTTGATCAATCTGCTTAAAACAGACGATCACCGGTGTAAAATWGGCTCGTTGAATCTACTTCTACCTCTTACTACGAACAGCAAGTACAACATCAATACAATCATCAGATTGGGTGGTAAGTACGAGAAAATCCAAATTCAATCCAGAAGCACGGAGAATTTTAATTTGTTTTCTTCTACAAATAGGTGTYCCAGTTGTAATTGAGCTTGTTACTACTGGTGGTCAAGAAATCCAAGGATTAGCAGCTGCAACTCTTGCTAACCTAGCGCGATCAAGTAAAGCTAGAAACATCTTAAGAAGATGTGGGGGCATCAAGAAGATGGTAAACTTTGCCAAGTATTTCATTCTCAAATATCTATCAATTAAAATTTACCTGGTTTCAAATGTATTGAAATTACTTTAATTCTCTTTTTCCCCCCTCGATTATTTGGACTGAGAACGTGTGTGATTGGACGTCCGCAAGACACCACAGCAACTCAAAATTTTTAGCAGTTTCGTTGTTACGAAATTTCAACAAGAGTGTGGATTGTGACTGTGATTGTGTCATTGTGCATGATTGCGATGCGATAAGCTGATTTTGTTTCAACTTAAATAAATATTTCACTTTATTGATAAATCGATCGGTCAATTACAGTACATGTCGGTAAATCATGCTGAATCGAGTAGCCCTTTGAGCTGCGCATGTTTTTTAGTATCTAATGGCGTTACTTTCACACCAAGGTTGATCTTCTAAACGTGGAGGCGGAGAAAGGAAGACGAAAGCAATCCAAATCGCACGAACAACAGACACTCGACATGGAAGTTGCTCGGTGTGCTGCGCTTGCGCTGTGGAGTTGTAGTAAAAGCAGGAACAATAGAACGGCGATATTTAAAGCTGGTAGTGTACCTCTCTTAGCAGAGTTAATTAAGATTGACAAGGAAGACATCTTGATCCCTATTGTAGGACTGATGCAAGAATGCGCTATCGAGGTATAAACTTATGTTACGCTATTCTACCTTGGTGTGAACATATTTTTCCATGAATCCAAAATATAAGTATTATTATAAGATTATTAAATTATTATTCTTGTTTTTCTTAATTCAGCCACGTTACCGTCAAGCATTTCAACAGGAGCACATGATAGAAGTAATCGTTCGACACCTAAAAACAGAGAATGAAGAGCTACAAACGTACTGTGCAAATGCGATATTCAAGGTAACATTGCCGTGGATTGAAGGGGTGAAATTTAATAATCTATCTGGTAGTTCTAAAACTGTTTATTTGCTTCCCAGTGTTCTGAAGACGAGGAGACGCGTCAGGTGGTCAGACAATATGGCGGTCTTGAACCTCTCGTCAGTCTCGTCTCACAATCACATAACAAGAAACTTTTAGCTGCGGCTACAGGAGCGATATGGAAATGTTCAGTCAGTCTAGAGAACGCTGAAAGGTATTGATCACGTAACAGGGGCGTAAGGGGTGTTTGAGTGGTTAACGTTTACTATTTTTAGTATCTTGGCCTAAGGCTTGATTCCATGCTGGTCCAAGGCGAAATGATTTTCCTTGTTCCGAAGATTTCTGTACATTCTCGATCGATGTGCTGCTGACGCGTGTTTTCCATCCTACCTTCCTAAAAATCTATATTTATGAGGAGTGGTGTGTAATGCAGTCAATGTCGTACTAGTATAGTCTCTCCCACTATAGAGTAGGTCAACTGCATACATACTATCCATATATAGGAGATTATTTATAGTATATTTATGTAAAAAAAAAAAACAGTAATTAAACGGAGTGTCTCTAAAATGTCCGCTTTTCCCTTTTCTAGATTTCTTGACTACAGCATTGTGGAATCGCTCACCAAATTTCTTCAAAATCCCGATGATCCTCAGCCAGAAGAGGTTGGTTGTTAAAGTGTTCCGCTGTATTTTCACTTAGTATACTATTGGCTATGGTGATCAATAATAATAATAATAATAATAATAATAATAATAATAATAATAATAATAATAATAATAATCATCATCATCATCATCATCATCATCATCACTTTCAAATTCAGCTTCATCTTTTAGATGATGATGAATTACCAACAACAACCGCTACAAGAGCAGCTACTGCATCTATTTCCAAACTTATGTTTAGCCTGCTTTTGTTTTTAACCAAACATTTAGAGCATTGATAATCTATAGCTCTTGTTTATACTTCGCCATAAATGATTTTTTTCATAATTCCCAACACAGGTTCAAATCCACATTGTTGGTGCTTTGAGTGAATTTGCCAAAGTCGAGCGAGGAAGAAGAGAAATCCTTGCATGTAAGGGTTGCAGAACGCTGATTGCCTTGTCTTCCACAACCAATGAGAAGCTGGTGGAGCAAACGTCTTACGCTATTGCCGCTTGCTCTAAAGACCGAGAGAGCAGAGAGTAAGTTAATATATCTATGAGCTTCGCCGTGTCTTGTGGCGATATATCTCATTTTACCCGATTAGAAGGTCAATTCTTGTCCGGCTAAAACGACTCGACATAATAAAGGTCATTATTTTTTATATTTCATTGCAGTCTAATGAATAATCTTGACGGATTGAGATTCCTGTGGTCATTGTTAAAATCAAATAATCCAAAGGTAAAATTAAGTGCGTCGAATTTTGATTTTAGTACGCGATTTATGATGTAAACGAAGCACCTTGCAAAATATTTTGACCATTTAAAGATTTTTACAGTAGACGTTCGGTATTTCTTTACAGGTAGTCGCTAGTGCCGCCTGGGGGATATACGGTTTAACAGAGGACTCACCGGTAAGTTGATATTAAAACCACGCGAAGTGCGATACAAGTGGCGTGGAACACATTAATTCTTACTTGCTCAGCTCTTTGGTAACACGTCTTTGCAGTGTCGTCTGTTTACATGTTTTTAATTCTGCGTAGCGGCCCTCTTTTTGGAGTTCAATAAGATATTTGCAAATCTAGTCGCCATTTTGTTTTCTCAACTCGCGATATCCTGCTGATACAGCCAGGGCGAAGGGAGGGAGGCAAAAGGAGAGAGCTCCCTCCCTTCGCCCTGGATACAGCAGTAGCCAATTAGCGCCCGAGGCTGTTTGCCTATCTGGAAAAACTTATTTTTATAAAACATTTTTGCGATGAAATATTGTACTGATACAAGAGACGTTTGAGTGTTGATGTTACCTTGCATACCATATTTCACTGACTTCACGGATTTCCGTGTTGTTCCTAGGAAGCATGGGAGAACGCACGATCGTTCGTTGGAGGTCTAGAGCTCATCGTGACCCTGCTAAAATCAAACAACATTGAGGTATGTCGTCGCATTTTTCAAATGTTAAAAAATGTTCCCGTGGTTAGCCATTTTCGATATTGATCAAAACTAAGTTCGACCTCCTGAACTTTCCTTTCATCACGCGAAATATTACTGAACGAGAATAAATATATCGGGAGCCTACTGTAGAGGGGGTCACAAGGTGGGCGTCGTTTGTCCAGTTGCTATATTTAATATTTGATTAATATTCAATGTTTTTACAGATTTTGACTAGTACGTGTGCAGCCATTTCCAACATCGCCAAAGACTATGAGAACATTGGAGTATTAACAGATTATGGTGTAGTTCCTTTACTCGCTCATATGACAAATACGGTGAGATTATATTCTACATAAAAATACCTTAGTTATGGAACGTGATGGGCGTTAGGAACATGACCTTTCACGGCATGCACCTGCCTCATAGGCTGAATGATAGAGATTATAATTAGTCCGGCAAATAGAGGTCAGTAGCCTTGAGGCAAAATTTTAAAATGTAAAACTAAGTTTACTATATTTCAGGATAACGTGAATTTGCGTCGCCATCTCGCAGAAGCTATCGCCAGGTAGGCTTAGTAACATTTCCTGATCATAATGATCCCACACCACACCCCACAGTTCTTATCAGAGGTTTGTCCAAAGTACCTTGCTCAAGGCACTATTTACTACATTCCAATTCCTCCCTCTAACATTCATCATTGTTGTCCAGCAAGTGGATTAGGTTAGTTAGGTTTATAAAAATACGAAAACAAATTGCGAATTTCAAGAATCTTCCAAAGATTTTAGGTAGCGAATTTCACAATGAGAATTCCTGATTTATGAAGTATTAGTACAATGGTCAAGCCTGACTTAAGAAGAAAATACAAACTTTACCTATGAAAGTACACACTTTACCTATGCACACAGTAATCATCCTCAATTAACCATTGAAAGTCTTGTAAAAAAAGTTGTTTAAAGGGGTAGTTGTTGGTAATTGAGGCATCTGTTTGGTATCGGTTTGAATAGAGTGCAGTCCCAGTAATTGCCTGAGTTGCCTCTGTTATTAGGTGCAGTCAATGGGGAAACAATGCCGAGATGTTTTGTCACGAGGGAGCTGTTCATGCTATGGTTGAATACCTCAGTTTCAATGACGTAATTCTAAAACGGTCAGCGGTTCGTGCACTTTTCCAGTTAGCCAGAAATCCAGAAAGTTGTATTATCATGCATAGTCAAGGAGTCGTCAAGGTAACATCCCTTCTCTTCTCTATGATTTCTCTAATGTTTACAATACGTGTGGGAGCAGTTTGTCGAACTATGATCACGACAATATTTTCCTTCAGTCAAAGTCCCTTAAGCCATCTTCAAGGACTATGCCATTGTATCGAAGTGAGAGAGGATAAGTGAGCTTGCAAAGATAGATACCTGTGAATAATTATCTTAGAGATATTCTCGCTTCGATGCAAAGGCACGGCTGCCTTTCAAGATAGCAAAATACTTCAGCAGTGAAGAAAATCATTAAAGAATTACTCGCTTAAGCAGGAAGCAGAAGGGAGGTTTTCATTTGTTATTTTGCTTCCATTTTAATCGCATCTTTCTCGCTTTCTTTGCCACCTTCCTTCTCCATTCACTTATTATTACACGCGGAAATGCCTCGTTTGTCTCCTTTCTGCGCTAATTTCACTAGTCAAAATAGATACAAGAGCTCACATCGTTAATCTTTGATTAGTAATATTTTGGGTGTGTTTTCAGTCACTAGTAAAGATGGTAGGGTCAAGAGACGAAGCTCTACAAGAAGCAGCTGCTGGTTGCTTACTTTTCATCAGAAAACTTGCCATGGCAAACGCTAAAGCACAAGCTAACGAAGACAACCGAGTTTCTTCTCCTGGTGCAGGCTGAATGTCAAATACTACTTTGAATTGAATGTGCTTTTATATTACTGTATTTGAATAAATAAAAAACTCCATTTGTAGTGAATACGACCTTACTCCCTCGGATGGTATCAAGTGTTTCCCATAATGCCTTTCGTACCTAAGCTAATAACATAATCTTTTCGATATTTAATTATTCTTTTTCTGACGTTTTTCAATCCCATTGTGTATCTCGTCAAATTCATTTGGGAAAATTACTATTATATATACGGGTTACTACGAAAAAAAGTATTATAACACTGACACCGACCGTCTTACTTAGGATGAAAAGGAATGCGTACCTTTCAAGATGGCGCAGGGAACCGTGGGTGAAGGAGACTATTTCGGTCTGACAAGGGCGTCCTCAAAATACAACACAAACAAACTATGAAAATATATTTTATTCAATTGAGAGGGTATTATTCAAGACATATCAATCTTCCTTCTATCAATATCTGATATGCTTTAAACTAGTCTTCATCCATTTTCTCTATCAATAAATAAACTATTAAATAATCTAGATTCACTAGATCTAGTGGATTTAGGAAATACTTTCCATTTTTGTCTATTTTTCAGAAGTTCTACTTCAATAGGTCGCTTAGAATGTTGGGAGATTGGGGCGAGTGTTGATTTATTTACGTAACAGAGCCGACACACCAAATCCGTGAATCATTGATTCATTGATGGTAAATCATTGATGGTAATTCCTTTGTTTCCAACATTGAAGTCACAAAACACGCAAAATAGATAGATAGATCGCCCCAGCTCTCAACTTCCTAAGTGACCTAACTCGATATCGTACCCAAACCCTACTCGCCTCCCATCGGAGAATCTTTCAAACGAGCCTTTCACTCGATGCGGTTTTTCTTTGCGCGCCAAAATCTTTTGTTTTTGTCAATAATAGCTGGATAAAAACACCAGAAACCAATTCCATTTGCTATCATATATCTAAAAACTGATTCTTTTATGTTCCCAGTATACAGGGTTTCAGTGTTGTCCGAATGAAGCGAGAAGGGTCTGGGACGAGGCTAATAAACTATAAAATTGTTCAGATTCTATCTTATGAGATGCGTCCAAGTGATGCCACGCTACAAAATAAAAACTACTTTGTCTTTCAGACTACTGCCCATTGAATGGGAAACTCTTAAAAAAATAATTTTGTGGTCTCTGAGGCCATTATCTAATTGTCATCGAATGAACATCTTAAATCAAATGGTTTTGTCTTTGACAATCCCCAGTAGCAAACGTTTGTGTTATGGTAGTGCCTGAATCTCATTCAAGCGGGAGGCATGATGCGGACGCGCACGGCTTAAGTTTCCCGCCAAAATCTCTACGCGCGCGTCCGTCTTTTGATTCACGCGACAAGCGGCAGTCATTTTTACATATTTTATGAGTGTAAAACTGACTAATTCATCTGTTATATAAGTAAACCACCATAAACTAGCTAAAGTTTAACACTCTAAACTTCTAAACGATTCAATTCGACAGTCAAGTGTCTTCTACAAATGCTATTTTGGATATTTATCCCAAATATCTACTGGTTTTATCAAACGTTTTAGAGCACACGGTATAGCTTAGTTCACACAACGTTATGAACTAGACCCTTCTAATGTCAATAACTGCCACAATTATTTCTTGGTAAAATATTCAGTATACTTTTGGCGGATTTTGTCTGTGTGATATCGGTAGGGCATGAGTAAAACCATGGAAAACTAGCCTGCGCACATCCGGTTTATTTTCGAAATTAACGGTGTTTACGAGTAAATGCTGGATGAACTCAGGCTATGGAAAACTTTTTAGAAGGGTCTCTATGGTTATTTTACATCATAACACCGATTAGTTTAACATCGATACAAATCTGAATAGTTTAACTATTTTGAACAGAATGGTAAATAAACAAAAAAGATTGCAAAGCGCATCGACCCTACTTTTAAAGTACAGCATATCGGCTAATTTTTACGCAAAGGTATTTAGTTTTTTTTATAAGCTCGTTTGGCTTATAGAATCATGGATATTTATACAAGATTTGTCTGATAGCTAGCACAAATCCTGTCTGTCTGTAATGCTAAGAGTGAACGAGAGGTTCTTGTCGGAGTCTACTACCTAATTGACAATAAGTGTCTCTATGTCTTGTGATAAGGGCTGTACTGTTAAAACGGAAACGGCTGAAAGCAAACGCGCAGTAAGTAAGCCTTCACATTAAAAATGATTAGGAACGTCGACTAATAGCGGTGCGTCTCGGCGCGCGAATTAAGTTTCTCCTGTGAACCACCCCAAAAAACATCACCAGGAATGAAAAACTCTAGAAACGATGTTACATGCGCAATTATTAGCTGTTTTAACGGAGAAAAATCATTTACAAATCTTTATAACAAATTGATGAAAATACGACAAATTCGTCAAAAACACAGCTTTAAAAACCGTCAAAATGTGTTATCAACGGAGCCTATAAGATTGACATAAAATGCGCATGCTGACATTTATAATGTAGCAAGATAACCTACCGTGGCTGGTCTTTGATCAACTTGTTTGATATCCCGTAGAGGGACGAAGGCGCCATAGTTCTGAGGACAAGTAAAATACTTGACTCCACCAATGGATCCATCATTGTTACCCACTGGAAATAATAAATTACTTATTGAATTAGCAACAACAATAAAAGCACCATCACCATCACCACAACCAACAGCAACAACAACAGTAACAACAACAACAACAACAACGACGACGACGACGACAACGAAGACAGAACAGAAAAAACGATCAACACCACCACAGCAATAGCACTTTTACCTGGCGAAGGGAGCTGTATTCCTACGAAGTCTGATGTCTCCCCTTTTCCATGAACAGGCCCAACGTAATTAACATAACCTGGGAATAACAAAAGTGGACATTTAAATGGGTTCAACATGAATAAAATTACAGGCAAATAATGATAATGATAATTAGCAGATAAGAGTTGGCTATATGCCTATGGCTATATGCCTATGGCTATATGCCTATGCAGTATGGCTTACTAACTGACCTCTAAATCTTCTGTGACCCATAAATTATCAAGTTTATTGGATAGGTTCAAAAACGTTGTAGGCTACTTTCACTGTTTCTACAGAGTTTCTATTGTACTAAACTTCGTATCTATGCTGTTATATGTTGTTGTTGTTGTTTTTTTGTTTTGTGCATACTATTTCTCGCTACAAAGTGACTGCCAGATCTCTGAGTGCAGCACTACAATATCTGTAATAAATTTCATGTTTTTTTCCGTTTATGTGTTTGCTTTCTTAGCCCAAGTAAACCTAGTCCCCACAAAAAAGCGTAATTCGGAAACATTCTCAAAAGAAGGAGTAGGAAAAACTAACTATGTTATAACAACACTGAGATTGAGTTTACCTTTAATTTCTCCTTGTATAGTTACGTAATCCCCTATTTTGGGCAATGGCGTTGATCTGATCATCAATTAAACAACCAATCAATAATTCAATACACTAATCTATAAACTAGCTAACTTGTTAATCAAATCAATCAATCAATTTATTGATAGGCTATCAATCTATCCATCCATCCATTAAACATTTATCTACCAACGTGAAAAAAATCTACCAAAATGGATACATGTACAATAAAATTACTCATTTTCATACTTGTGTGGGCTCTTGTCTTGTGTTTGGTTGCCTTTGTACAGCTGTAGAGGTGTCAAACTATTTCCAACAGATGTAGGGTTGTTGTCAATGCTCAGTGGTTTCACACAAGGATCTGTAGATATTCTCTTTAAAAATGAAAAGATTACAATTGATGCTACAATTGATGTTATTGCACAATTCAAAAAAACAAGAAAATATATATCAACTACGCAGTATCCATCATGATTAAAACCTTCCTTTCTGGAGTTTTGTGATTTATTGAGACGTACTGCATTGCAATATGATAAATATATATTATCTGCATGATATACTTACTGAACTTATTCTAGAAGGTGTTAGTGTTCTGGGATTATACCTTCTTCCATGTTTGACACAGCTTAAGGGAATAATATCATCATCATTAATAGTGCAAAGACTAATTTATAGATCAATATGCAGAAATTATGATCATTTTGACTCATATTCCAAGTATATATAAAAAATATCATAAATGATGGAATATCATTGCCAATATTTCTTTTTTGAAGTTGCTTAGCACTAGTACTATCTGGAAAAAAAATCTGACAATGATGAGTGTGGGTCAAACCATACGAAACAGGTCTGTAGCAATAAATCAATGGATCATATTCGAAGCGTTTAGCTCAGTATTTTATGTAATATATTTTATATATATTTGGAATGTGAGTGAAAAATGTCTGCATATTGCTGTACAAAGGGATATAGGGGTGTTCTTTCAAAAATTCCAGGCCACCAAATTTTTCGATAAAGTTTTCAAGAGTCTCAACGTTTTTTTCAGGGGGCAGGGAAAATCCAAGTCCTGATTTTTTTGCTATTTAATAAGTCAAGAAGTCTTGATCTAGTGGGGAAAAATTCAAATTCACCAATTAGACACCCCTATGTGGTTAAATTACTTATATAAATATGTTTCTTGTCAATCTATTGGACGTGTAGTATAGCCGCCATCTTTGTCGTTGGTTTTTATTGTTAGACTAACAAAGGGAATATATAGCCAATCTTAAAAAGGTTGACGTCCACCTATTGACATAAGTTGTCACATGTCTTGATATATCAGTTTCCGTATGTGGAACCTTCTCTTGTGTATAAATAGAATTTTTAAAATGTCTTGTCATTTCTTCACTAAAACACAAATAAGATCTATAGACAATTTTGAATGAACGGAAATGAATATTATTTTCATAAAACATGACGATTGTTGGAACTTTTGAAATGTCTTATAAGATGGACAAAATTTTCAAGATTTCCTGTATATAAATCATATAATATATTAAACCATTCTATTAATCTTATGATATATTAAAATCATTCTTTTCACAAAACAGTCCATATTGTTTCATTTGGTCATACAGACATATCACTCCAGCACAAATGTCAAACATATGTAAACGATTTTCATGTCTACTAGACCTCAACGACCCTTAATAATAACAATAGGATCCTCTGACTTAAGCTGACATTTTTCATATCATGATTTTTATAATGACTTTTGTTCCCTTATCAACTTGAATGACATTAAGATCAGCATCTGTTCCACTATTACCTTTTCAGGCAGCAGTTTTCGTCATCCTTTAAGTTGCCAATACTAGGATTAACAGCTTCCTGAACAAGACAAAAATCATAGGATTGTAAAGTACAGATATATATATCGTATATATATACACTCAGTTTGCGGAAAGAGTAGAAATACTAGTTGCAAGTTATGTGCCTTTTTCTTCAATTTCTTCAATTTATATCTATATACATGTATATCTATTATTATATTATTTGCACATAATTGTTTTTCTATGCAGAAAATTGTGTTATACCTTTGCATGGCTTGATTGCGTGAGTCTGTAAATCAAATTAAATTATTTGAATATTGTCAATAAACGAAAAGTCGTCATGTACATTCAAAACACCACTGACAGTTATTCTTAAAAAAATCACAGTAACACATTTCTTATTTAAATTTTTTTTCTTTATTCACAGACAAAATTTCCCCTGGAACAGATTCTGCAGGAGCCTGTGTAACAATATACTGTATACATAGTTAATATGCTGTATACCAGTATATATACAATTGTTCATACTTACTTATCAACATAACAAAAAACATATCACCATTAAACTCACATTTGTTCAGGTGATGTTCTGTCCTTTGTCCTTTTACAGTTTTCACTTGCGATGGTTTTTAAGAAGTCATTTTGTATCTGTTTAAAGGAAAATATTTGTTATTGCATAAGTATGTGGACAGTTTTAGGTGCCAAAGTGATCAAAGTCCAGAGTTCCTTTTGGCCGTAGCTTGATTAAGGAGTTATTTAAGTTTTCTGACAGTTATTGGAGTAGTCTGGTATATTCTATCTACAATATTCATAATATAAATTTAGTAAAGCTTTGCCACAAGCCTTCAGTCTAATTGCACGGAGATAACAATATTTATCATCTATTGACATTCGATCTTCATGCATGTCTGCAAATCTGCAATTTTCAGTTTGTTGTAGTGTAAATAAAGATGTTTTGCAATTAATTGCAAAAATGTAAAATGTACTTTTTTTTATTTACAAACAACAAAGGAATATCACTTATATATACAGGCAAAATGCTTTCTTTTATTGCTTTCAATGTACTCCTTTTTTCTCTATTTCTCTAAGACTTTATAAGGTAAACACAATGGAGAATCATTGCTGTGCCCACATCTTTATATTCATCAGCAAGAGATTTGTCCTCTAACTTCAATTTTAATTCCCTTGAAAATGATATTTTATCTTGACTTTTTTAGCAAAATATCATTTTATTAGCTTATGTTGGAATTTGATAAGCAATGCTTGTGGCTCGTAGTTTTGAATGCCCATAAAGGTTCCCACTAATATTTTATAGTGTACATTAATAATGATAAATAAGAAAAATAAACAATACCTCTGCATTTTGAACTTGTGCTTTGAGAGCCTGTTTATGTTGTATGAAACTAGTTAACAACTATAAATGTACAAAATTAATGTACACACAGATAAGAAATACCTGATTTTCAGCTGTTAGGTTATGTACTTGACTTTCAAGTCTTAAGATTCTTTCCTTTGCTGAATAAAAATAAAGTGAACATTATTCTGAACTTAATGAAATAAGTTATTGCTTGTTTACAACATAAAGTCAATTCCATTGACATTGTTCAGTTGTGAAGACATAAAGACAACAACAAAGTCATTTCCATATATCATACTTTTAATTTCTTTGCAAAAATATTCAACATAAAGCTCCAAAATGTCTTTACAAAGTCAATAACATTTGAATCAATATTCATCAATAATTTTATAATAAAAATTCTTCCTGCAAATATCAAAAACATATTTATGAAAATTAATTTGTTGTTGTCTTTTTGTCTTTATAACTGAAAAATGCTAAGAGGATTGACTGTATGTGAACCAGAGCTGAAACATAATCTTATAATTAGTCACCTTTTCTTAGTTCAAAAGAAGAGTTCCCTGTAGTTTGATTTTCCTTTCCTGACTTATGTTCTGAGAAGAATAAGACAGCTATTATAATTTGAATATTTTCACTGATTAATTCCATCTCTGCCTTGATGAACAGTCATTAGAAAAATTATGATTAACAAGGAAAAATATATCAAAGACAAAATCATGTTTTTTACAATAAGAATAGAATGGTGTCTCAGAAATCGCAAAAATTTCCCAACGCTCGCAAGCTCAGTGCTTAAAAGAGAGGGACTCTGCTTTAACATCGCTTTTAGCTTGGAAGCTCGCAATTGACGAAATATTGGACTCGTTCTGCCAATACGAGGGGCTTGCAGGCTTGGCAAGGCTCGGATGTTACCATTGGATACCCCTACAGTACAACTACACTCATTTGATGCAACAGCATTAATATATTAACAAAATTAATCTTCTATTGCTATAAAAAGGCGTCCTTCACACAGAGAGTGTGTTAAATAATTGTACCTGATGTTTTACAATTTTCTTCCCCCAAAGGAGGATGTACAAGTCTGTTTGATGTTGAAGACTCTTGATCTTGACTTCTTTGCACTTGTGTATTTGGACTTGTAGTTGTGATTATCTTAACGAAAAATAAATAAAGTCAAAACTGGGACTTAAAAAAGGTGCCACTTTTGATATTATGTAAAATATTTTCATGGATTGTTTGAGCTTGAATAAAAACATGTTATTATAGGTTCCAGAACTATTGCATATTCATATTGCCGCAGAGCAATTCTTACTCACAAGAAAAAACGTTTAGTACAAAATACACAGAGCAGATTTGTAAAAGCATGTGCAGCGGCACAGACAACACCTGGACAAGTGATGGAAAGTTGACAGTTACAGCACAGCATGTTTCGGCATGGCACCATATGAAATCTGTCCTTTTATTAACAAAAATACCTTAGTGTGAGTTTTCTTGGATTTCAAACCTTTGGAACCTCCAGACCCTGATTCACTCGCAGATGATGATGAAGAGCATTGAAGTTTATCTGAGCTGCATTCTCCACCTGAAGTTCCCTTATTAGATGTACGCATTTGTAATTGACTGATAACGAACTTTAACCGGTTTATTTCTAGCTCCATCCTATAGAGAAAGCATTGAGTACTTTTACCACAAGAGTTCAAATTCATCATGAGATTAACAGGGCTTGAAGAAACTTGAAAAAAGCTTTACAAAAAAAATCATGTTTCAAATCAAAACGTAATTGCTTAAATGGATAATTTTTGTCAAAATCTGGTTTAAAAGTGATAAAAAAGGACCACGTCTACTATTTTTGACATCTAATTGTTTAAAATGTTCAGATTTGCTTTGGACTTGCAAATTCAAGTTACTATCTAAGGGGCATTTTGAGGTTAAAAACTTGAAATTCCAGAACATTCAAGAACACTCTTATGATTAATCCTCTGTCAAAGTATCTGTCTGAGGTCAGACATTGGTCACATCTTGCACAATAGCGCTATAAATACACCAGTAATAATAGGGAGGTGAATCAAAATAGCATAAAACTACTGTTGCTTATAATTCTCTAATTGTGACCAGTGAAAGTCATGTACAGTGGAACGTTGCCTTATGGCCAACTTCTCAATATGAATACTCCCCTATAATGGCCAGAATATTAGATCCCAGTTAAGTAATTAATTGTCATCCTTTTCTGCCTGGTTAATATATTCACTCCTTTAATACAATGTCCCCTCATTGACTGGATTAACATGGATCCACTACAATCATGTAATCTTAGTCAATCAAAACAGATATATTTCAGAAAAAAGAAGTCACAAAAGAAAAAAACTTGAAAGCCATATAATGCTAATTATGAAATCGATTAAAAGGAGAATATGGCACCCAATGCCTTACTAAATTACATCTGGAAATCTGGTTCATAACCTTTGGGCACTTTCACAGAAACATTTTCATGTACAAGTTATCAACAACTCTCGCATTAAAAAAATGATGAAGGACTACTTGACATGTGAAAAAAATACAGACAGAGAGTCGGTAAAACTAAGCAAGAAAGACAAAGAAACTCTTGCATGTATACACATGCTGTTTTGAGAATGGACAATCTTAAAGAGGGTTAATAGTATCATATTTCCCAGTTTACCTTTGGCACCAAGATATGGTGCCACATTTTTGTGTCTGCCTCCCCAATGTTGGCTGTTATCCTTCACGAGTTTGTAAGGTCTCTTGTGATTGTAGGAATAAAACAATGCTTATTCTTTTGCCGTTCTTAAATCCTATTGTTTTCTTTTATTTAACAAAGAGTAGTAGACCTGTTGGATAAGATCTTGCAAAGCCGTGAAGGGCTACCCAACATTGGAAAACAATTAATTTCACTAAAACAGACATAAAAAACGTGTAATTATAAGTAAAGCTGTTGTTATTAACCCTTTGACTCCAATCATGGCAAAAACTGTGTGAAAAAACATACTGGTAATTAATTATTCCAAACAATACATAACTACTTTATAACACTCAACTAGATCAAAATTATGAAATATCAGGGGTTTTTTTTACCTTATTATTCAGGATTACCTATTTTCACCCCAAACAAAGCAAAAAAAAAAAAAACGAAACAAAGAAAAAACAAAGAAACGAAACGAAATCAAAAAAATTCGACGCATTTTTCGAAAATTGAAATATCCTAGTTTTCACTTAGTATTTCATGAATCGAAGTATCGTAGTCAGAGTTGGACGAAAAATTTTTGATTCCTTCGCCACCCGTATTAATGAGCATCACTCCCAACTCCACTTTCTGTTTTTTCTTTTATCATCGAAAGGCACCGCTTCGCATACCCGTAGAACAAAAGCATGCGCATTTACGTAAGTTTTAGAAGTGAGCGCAATATGCCGAGTGTCAATTTATAACAATGCCGACCACGCACTTTTCCTGGAAAATCAACTTATTTACTTCGCAAAAATTTTAATTACAACATCGCCAGCAGCAACACTGGCAACGTGTAAGAACGTGATCACGTGCCCGAAGGATTGGTATAAGATCTCTAACCACGAACGGAAGTTATAAACGTGCTTATTATGGTAAAAAATGAAAAATAAATAAAAAATAAAACGTGCCGATGTGCACACACACAAACACCTTGGTTTATTATAACGCTATGAGGGTATCATATTGAAAATTCATTGAAATGGCATTTGGCCTATTAAAAATGAAGAAAGGGCTTGAAAATCGAGTCGAAACTGACAGCTATAAGCAGAGTGATAAGTATCGGCTTTTTGCGTTGTGGACTTCGTATATTCGTTTTTTTCAGATATTATAAATAAAACTACTCCAAGGCGTTTCTGCGATAGCAATTCGGTGAAGAATCTAGTGTTTCTAATTAAAGACGGACGATTGTTCAATGAAATCCCCAAAGTCTGAATATATAGAGGTCACTCATTACATACTCAGTTTGTTATCAGTGGCTCGAGGTTTAGAAACTGAGTTGTTTTTCGACCCAAACCGGCAGGTCAAAGTGGAATATATCATGCGATGGGATTTTCCCCATTGTTCATGSAAAAGGGAATTTTTTTTTGGGTTTCAAAGTATTTCAGCCCATACGACTCTCACTCTGTATCATTAAATCAGTACTACTCACATTGCATGTTCTTTTTTAATAATCGCTTTTACAATAAGCCTGAAACCGCGTGTTTCCTATTTAGAGAGCACGCGACAAATTGGGCAAATAATAAAAATATATAACGTCAGATCTTGTATTGGGCAAAACTGGTGGATTTGTGGTAATCAAATGGCTTTCAATTGCAGTTTTTTGTTTGATTCGGATAACTTTATTTCAGAATGCATACCCCAAAAGAGGTCAGTTTCGCGTTAATGTATAAAAGTATTGGTTCCCTTAGATTAGATCTTGACAATTGTAGTTGGATCAAGTCCAACTAGAATACAGACATATAGTCTTACACAAAGAAATCAAGAATAAAACAACTAAATACATAGAACAGGCATTAAATGTGACATCTGTTCTGTAAAATATTCAGCTACCACATGAATTCCACCTTGGTTTCAACAATGATTTAAAACTTTTAGATTTGACGAAAACTAAATAATATGGCATGCCTTGGCAGAAATTTTAGCTCGTTTACAAGGACGTTCGCCGGAAACACAGAACTGTAAGCTAAATAGAAGATATCAATATTCAAATTGCTCTAACTACACCATAAGAGCTCACGTAAACCAAATTCCTTTGGTAAAGATTACAGTACATTCTGTGTGCTCGCTTGGTCAACAATTTAAGACCTTCCATCTCTGAAATATGATACCGACAAGAAAGCTTGGGTTCAGTGTATGTTTGCGACCGAAGATTCTCGTCCCAAGGTATCAAAGACATCTAAAGAATAAAACCACAACACAATGCAGTATCTTACCTCTTATTTTCACGAATAAGCGAGGCAAATTCGGTACATAGATGCACATAGCCTCGTTTGCTTGCTGTGTGGACAACAATTGCGACTGCTTTCGTGGCAGATTCTCTGTCCATCATGTCGTTGTATACGGCTTCCCTACTCCCAGCAACACCTACTATATTCCGGGAGAACAAGAAAATAAAAAAGGCCATGAAAGAGTTCGTGAGATAAATCACACTACGATAAACGCTTACTAAGTTTTGTGGGCGGAAAGATCAGCGAGTTGCAAAAGCCACAAGCATGCAAATTGAGCAAAATTTTAATATCATACCAGCGTCATGATCAGTCATTGACTTTGATGTCCAATTTTGAGTCCGTGTAGTTCTCGATCTTTTAGAAGCTTTGCTTTTGTCTGTCGTAGAGTTACTATTTCCAGAATGCTCTCCACTGCTTGTATCACTGTTCATATCAGCCTGGTAGTGTTCAAGCGCTTCACGGGACGATCTCACGAACTATCGAAGCTTAGTTCTTGGTTACATGAAGAGAATTGTTCCATGTTCAGGTCTCTAACATTTTGGAAATGATAAAGTCCAACGCATAGCGACAAAAAGTGTTAGAATGGGCAAAGCAAGCAAACGACAGCCACAGCTCGTTTAAAATGCGCATCCAAAAGGCAAAAGTGCGCCCGCGATGATGATGTGTTGTTAGACTAGACGTAACCTCAGACAATCGGTCTGTCGACGCCCGCGTAATTCAATCTCGCGTAACGCCGTGACACTGTTACTTACTGTTTCTGCCCTACATTGCGTAATAGTTTTATAGCTCGTGCTTTTATTCAACTTTAAAGGATTTTGTTAAGAATGTGACGGTACATATAGATTGAATTCATTTTGGATATCCTAAAAGTCTAGTCCTGACGACTTGTAGTGTTGTTGTAATAACACTTTCATCTCCACAAGACAAAATAATTATTATCTCCAAGTCCTCACGTTTTTGCCTTTTGTATTTGTACACTCATGTGACGTTTTTAAGACAGAGCGCTGTCCTTTGTTATCGCTGACACAGCAGACAAAGGAATGGAAAATGCCCAAATATGGTTCTTCGAGGTCATAATGCAAGAAGCGGCTGTAAATATATATATAACAGAATCAGGTGAATTTATACGGTTCCGCTGGCAATTGCTGCATCAAATAAAACGGAATCCAAAGTGTTATCAATGACAGTTACTTTGTCAGTTTGCTTTGCATGATGGATGCCAATTAAACGCGAAATAATTGAAAATGGACGGACACGTGTATTTTTTTTTCGGCCTGACAAACACGTGACGCTGGTTGAACTACTGTACTCGAGATAGTTACATCCGCTCAAGAGTCACTTGAAACCCGATCTGATCTGATCTTTTACAATGGAAAAGTTGCTTGTTATCTGTATTTAATCAACGTGTCTATCAAGCTGCATTTTACAGAAACCAACCTAATAAATTTACAGAACAATTTTTTTCCATCCAGGGACTATGTTAGTTTTTATTTTTGTTTATTAAATATTTCTGAAGACAATTTTGTCCAGTGATTTCTTCGAGATCAGCTCAAGTCCTGGAAAATCGCCCATGCACGTCATACAATGACCCAAACATTTATTTTTTTACAGAGCAAAAAATACAAGCAACTATGTACAGAACTTGAATGTTATTATTGTATAATAAGTGTAGTTGTTTTAATTTTGCTTTGTATTTGTATAGTGCAAAAACAACATCAAATGAGTCATCAGTTTTTAAAAGCACGACTGAGCAAGACCAGTAGTCACAAGTTGCCTAGCTACCCTCCGGCGTATTAAACTTTTCTGAGACACATGCATGGAAACCACCACTGGCTATAGAATGGTAGGTCATGCAAACTCCGCCTCCGAACTACAAATAAATTTTTTTAACACGATTACAAGGGCACTCAAAGCTCTATGTTACCTAATAGTTGGAGCGGATTGGTTGTTTTTTGTTTCTTTCCATTCACATTCCTTTGATTTTTATATCATCAAAACGGTCCACAATCGAGTCGAACAGAAGAAACTACAAGTGTGGTTGTAGGAGCGTAGCGTCCTTTACGCATATACGCACGTGCGTACTAATGACAAGGAAATATTAAAATTTTCATAAAAATTACTGAAAAATTCACATAAAATTGATCCCTTTTGTAAGCCCTCGATGTCTCTCAAAAACGCTGGAAATCGCATTTCCAAGAGTTAGACCCCCAGAACCAAAATATGTGTCGCCGTCCCTGACATGTGCGTACTAGCCAAAAAGTCCACGCTACGCGCCTGGGTTGATTTTTTCCAATCTTTTTCTTTTCGATTATAGTTCGCTTTAGAGATTTGTTCGTTGTTATGGTAAATAACATTTACTCGGAGTGGCAAAACGCGCTAAAAGCATGCTCGAAGTCACAAAATCCGTGAAATAGATATTGCATAAATACGACTTGGTATGATGGTAGTATATGTTTCACGCGCTTTGAATTAATGACTTTAAGGCTTGTAGGCTATAAACCAAATGGTACTGAATTTTCTAAACAACATTATTAAATGCTAATTAGCACTATTCAGCTAGTGCTATTATTATAGTGAGGTCTAAAAATCCGTGAAATAGGTATTACACTAATTAATACAGAAAGAAAGAAGAAAGAAAATTAAGAAAGCCACGCCAACTCTCTCTGATTAGTCTAGCCCGTTTCAGGTCCCGTATCAATAAAATTAATACTATGTACTTATTGACTGAGTGGGAGGGCCGTACGGGAAAATATTTGGCTCGAGGTTATGCCGTACGGACCGAGCGCAGCAAGGTCCGTACAAATGACCGAGAGCCAAATATTTTCCCGTACGGCCCGACCTAACTCAGTCAATAAGCATTTTATCATATGACAGCGCTTTTTAATGTAAAAAAATAAATAATAGCGCGCGGAACTTCAAGCCGGGAAAATACGGGTTTGTATGGACCTGTCGCGAAAAGGCGTACGGACCCCATCACGTGACCATTTTCCAAAGGTTTCAGTGAGAGCGCGCGTAGGGCCGAAATACGGGTCATATGATAAACCTCAATACGCTCTAATTGCATTGTTTTCTTTTCTCTCTATTTGTCTATCACAGCTTGGTAGTCAAGTTTTGTTTCACTGGTTTGATGCCTTCACTCTAGTGTCCTTACTACAACTAAAGGAATCCGAATAATTCAATACAATTTACTAATTTGTCGGCACTCAATTGCACTCTATATCCGTGGAACTTATTGCGGAAAATCTACACTAATTGAACAATTGAAGAAATCGGAAAGTAAAAATACCACCAAAAGCTACGAAACATGATTCGAATCAGCTGAATTCCAATGGGTAACTATATCCTTATGACCTCTTTGCGCTCTCATAGCAACCCCAAAGATATTTACGCATATTACCTTGATTGCAAATCCAATGTGAGTATAAGTTGCCTTTTGGTCACCGAATGTTAGCCTAACACAGATCCATACTCCACAAAACGAACAGCTGATGTGACTGACTTGGGATAGCTAAATCCAGACGTCAGCACACAAATAAATTCAAACAAATCTCTCTATCAAAGAATGCACTAAGAATCTTTGACGTTCAAAGGACAAGATCTGCGTAACGTGAGGTGCCAAATTTTAAAAGGAGAACAGTTTGAAAGATTTTGAGGTACGTTTTCCGAGCAAAGTTATTTTTATTTCTTCTCTGTTTCTGGAGATAGCCAACCCGGGGAACATTGAACTTTGATAAATGGCTTCTGCATGCTTCGTTCAAAAGTTGTCACTCGATGCTCGACAATGAAAATTATCCTAAAACGCACCCTTCGAGTGATTTTCAGACCGTGAAGGATACGATTTAGTAAATTTTGTTTTTAGATAACACTGTTCCAATCCGTATAATCCTGTTTAATGTTATTAAATGACCCTAAAAGGTACAGTTTCAGTCTGACTTCCTTTAAGGTGCGCGAGAGTGTTATTTTGGACCTTAAAACGTTCGTAAGTACCATATAAACATGACTACAGAAGCAATCACACAAAACTGCTATTTCCGGGAAACAAGGCTGTCAACTCCTGGATAAGTCGGAAGCTCCAGACATTAGACAAAATCTCTCAGCTCAGGAATTTAAGCGTCAAATCTCCTCTTTTCAGTCGAAAAGATGGCAAATATCAGTCAATCTTTGTGTAAGGGGGTTGACAGGCATGTTTTCCGCATTCCGTAAATACGCATGAAGTATTTAAACGAATATAGATCTGTTCTACGGCAAAAAGAAACCTGTTTGTATAGCGAAAACTTAAGGGTACCGACTAGAGCATCGGACTTTGTTTTCGTAAGGACTCTCTTTACTTTTTAATTGTTATTTCTTTGCTGCAATCATAAACTGGAATTCTAATCAGTAGTGATGCTATCGCTTCCGATGGAGTGTGAAGTATCACTTAAATATAAGAAAGGTAGAGCAATTATGTGGAGCAGTTTTTGCAAATGCATGACTGTGTAAAGTAGTAGTTTCCTATTGATTTTTGAGTGTATCATATCCAGACAATATTGAATTCGAAAATCAACAAAAGGTAAACATACAACAGGGTGGCGACAGGACTTGATGGCGACAATTTATTTAAGTAGACTTTGATTAGGAGGAATTATTTCATTCTTACACACAGTCAATCTCATTAAAGTTGTTTAGTTTATAAAGACATAAAGACAATAACAAAGCTATTTGCATATATGACATATATAATTTTAACAAATCTATGCAAGAATTCAACATCAACTGAAGTTGCAAAACGCCTTTTGCATTTGATTTGCTAATTTATCGTTAAAGCCTGAAAGCCTTCCCTGGAAATTGAGAAAACTAATTCTTCTGCAAACTTATGGCGTTGTCTGGTTATTGTTGTTTTACTTATAACTTAACTGAACAACGTTCAGATGGGCCATTGACTGTATATGAGTAGGTGTTCTGTACGTTTTGTTGCCCTATATTTCAATATCAAAACTATACTCTTGAGTTTGTTTTTGAGTTTTTCTTCTACGGATTGCGGAAAGTAACATTACCACAATAAATGCAAAACGATGAAAATAGCGTATTTTAGAATAAAATGTTTTATACAAATAATTAGGCGTTTGTAAGTCTTAAAGTTGCTTCCTCTTTTGAATAGGGTGATGACAACCGCTTTCCGACATAATATTTTTCTCTTATCAGCGTATGTCTGATTCGAGGTTGTTTTTACGTCATTCGAAATCGCAATTGGAGTCAGAAACGGTGTCAGAAGCTTTTCTGATTTTTACCGAATGGAAGCATTCCAATCACTTCATCGAAAAGCGATTGTGATTTCATTTCTGACTGTGATTTCGATTTTGCTTGAAGTACAAAGAGACTTCACATGGCGTGACTTGTCAAAGGTCACAGCTCAGGAATATAATTTCAGTTCTATTGTAGCTTTGTACAGGGATCATCAGTTAAATCAAGACCCAGACATGGATGATCGTCATCAACGCCTTCTTAGACGTCACAACGTGAGTTTCCGAAAATTCTTGGAACCGAAGAAAATTATTCCATATTTATCATCGAAAGAAGTGATTGATGACGACGACGTGGAAAATATCAATAATCAACCAACCGTAGGAGACCAGGTGGACATGTTGCTCAAGATTCTTCCCAAAAGAGGACCTGACGCATTCCTATATTTTGTGGAGGCCTTGGAAAGTGTGTCTACTCAGGCTTATTTGGTAGATTTTCTTCGTCAAGATAAAGAAGCTAAAGGTAGCTACAATCGTTGCCAATAATTCAATGAATAATACCAAGGACAATAGACCATTCCCCTCACATTTTTTCCCATGTTTTTTTTTAGTTCATAAGTAATCTCCCCCCTTCTCACATCAGTATGGCTTCTTATTTGGATAGCTTTCTCGTATAGCAACGTGTGCTTATTAGCTTGCGAGCTTGAGCACTGTCTTTAGGGGGCAAAAAGGTGAGGGAGGGGGGGGGGGGGGTTGTAATAATTTAGCTGTTAGAGTTCCTTAGTTTCTTAAAATATGAAAATTCACTTGAATGGTCCAAGAATTTAGGTAACAATTGTAGCCTTATAGTTCAGTACTTCAATTATATAGTATAGAATTATGTAGTTTGCAACACTTCCCAACGTAATAATCCATACAATGGAACTATTGTGAGGAGACTCTTGAAATGATTTTAATATTGGTTTTATCTCAAACGTATTCATAATTGATATTCTAAACTATATCTTAGCAAAATAGCAATAAATCTTTTACATTTATGGCTTTGAGATTTATGTTGATGAAATTTTGTTATCATGGCTATATTCCACGGTACCAAAGATCGCGCGTAAATTTTAATCGCTTGTGACTAAATCACCTGAACCTCTAATTGGTTGAAATTGGGCTAAAACACATAGTTTTCAGTAATCTTTAATTATTATGAAAATTCATTTCTATATATACCAGATGTAATCAAGTTTTAGCACTAAGAGATAACAAAGATACATGGTGTTGGCATTGATATTGACATATCTCGCGACTAGACAACCAGTTTCATAGCTCATCATCTTTATACAAATAGTTTTTATACCAATTCTAATCAGCTATAAACTGATTTTGATTTTAGAGATGGGTTTTTTAGAGGCGATTTCAGAACTAAGGCGTGTACGTTCCAACAGTGCAAAGGTCCGAGACAAGCTTCGCGAAACATGTGTTGAACAAGATAATATCCGAAAAGAACTTGAAGAACTAAAAAGCCTTAACAAAGCACTTCTCTATCAGTCAAAAAACGATAAAGAGGCATTGAATCTTAACATCCGCAAGTTGAGCAACACAAATGAGACATTAGCGAAAAACCTAGAGAGAAGCAATCAAGAGAAGTTAGTCCTTGAAGAGAATAACACCAAGTTGGAGAAGGAGCTCCACAACAAAAATCTGGCAATAAAGAGAATGGAAATCGATCTTCAAAGAAATGACACAGACATTGATAAGTTAAATTCAAGGAAGATGAGTGGCGACGATTCTATCACTCGAGAGAAACGTCAACTCTTGCGCAGAAGAACAAACAGTGCCAAAAGCGAGAGGATCCTAACGAAGAGAGTCATCGCGAGCTGTGCAGGAATGGAAGACTTCACACCAATTGATCGTGACATGAATAATAACATCCTGTACGGCCAAAGCAAAGATACGAGTGAATGCATTCTTCAACATAATGCTAAAATCAAGGAGCTTGAAAGAAAATTAATTCATCTCGCGGCCGACAGAGAATTGGCTTTAACATGTTGTAAAAAGCTTGAAGAAGAGTTGCAAAGTTATGAAGAAAAGCATAAATCTAAAATAGATAAAGAGACTACACCTATGGAAGAATCAGGTAAGAATATTGTACAAAACAAAAATGGCCATAACACCAAACGTTAGAACCAGCCTCCCTCTCCCAACTATGAGCGATAAGACCGCATACCTCAAACGAGCCCCGGCGCCGTCTTCACTTTCAATTTTGTACCTGACAGCCTCTTCACTGCTTATATGTATTACTTCTGATTTTTCCAAACACAGGAATCACTACTTGTAGCAAGTGCATCGAATACGAATCAGAGTTATCTGAGTACAAGGAACTTCGACAACAAGCGAAGAAGAAATTAGAATGCGCATTGAAAGATGTCACTGATAAGCATGAAAGAGAAAAGAAAGATCTGGAATCCAGCTTACAAAAGCTTGAGGAGCTGTACAATACAGCGAAGCAAGAATTCATGAACGAGATGGAAAACGTACGAAATGAAATGACTGTCAAGCATGCCATTGAAATGAAAGACTCGAAAGATGAACTTGAATCTCAAACTGAGAGAGACAAGCTAACAATTGAACGTTTGAAAAGTGACTTGGATAAGATCAAAGAAACTATCAAGACTATTAAGGCAGCAAACAAAGCGAAATTCCAAACATATAAAAAGGAAACAAACGCAGAGAAGAAAAAGCTAAAGGACAATATTAAATCAAAGGACTTGAGGGTGCGACAGCTAGAGGATGAGCTCAAAGAGGCCCAAGAAGAAAAGAACAATGATCATGATGTTATCAGCAGTTTGAGGGAAGATTTAAGGAAAGAACAAGAAATTAAAGAAGAGCTTAGGGATGAGTTGGCACAATGGAGGGCACTTCCAGGGGGAAGTAAGGATTTATTTGCTTTTTTGTTTTGTTTTGTTTGTTTGTTTGTTTTTCAACTTAAATTGTAACAGGTACCTTCTGAGAASGATTTTATTATTGTCTGAATAATTGCGTGTGTGAGCTGCAAAGAGAAAAATTTSCCATAATTTTAGATCAGGGATTCAGGGGAGAATCCAGCATTTTATGGGGGGGGGGGGTGCTTTTGTTAATAATATATATCTAGAGCAAGAAAATAATGCACAACATGACCGGAATCAAATTGACTTTTATTGCAACGTATCTTCTTTGACTACACTACTCAAATAGATTGTTAAGTAAAATAGTGGCAGACACATGCTATGTATGCTACTCGTTTTCTTTAAAATTAATTTAAAAAATTAATTAAATTAATTACTCACAGCGAACTAAAATGACTTTAGTGAATCTGACAATTCAGTTATAACGTTTGCTATAAAAGAAGTTTAAGTTAAGGCACTGACCAAAACTCCTCGCCTCCTGTGCAAATAGCGATCCTTTGTGTCATCTTCATATTAGACGGACCCCACGAATGGGCCAAGGGCTAACCCTAACCCAAGGAGTACACGGGTAAGATACCCATAAATGCGTTAAAAGTGTATTTCTCTTTACTGCAGGAATTTTCAACTTCAAAGACGATTTTGACCGCAATGGAATTATCTACAATTTAGGAACCAATTTCARCACAAAACCCTTCGTCAATCCAGCCAAAAGTGGTAACCACACAATCAAAGTAAAGCGATCCTCATGCAAACATGGTCAACCTTCGGATATTCTCGATCTTGCTCACTCCAAAGGTGCACTTAGCTGCACTGCCGACGCAGCAGGTTCCTGGTGGCAGGTGGACTTGGGAGAGACGCATGCGCTGTATGTCACACATTATACATTACGTCATGGCGGAGACAATGGACTGTCAGTTCTAAAGAACTGGAATCTAGAAGGATCGGTTGATGGAAGGAGATGGATCATCTTACGAAAGCATGAAGATGATTATAGCCTGAAGGGCAATAAGGGGACTTTCCCGTTTTTCACTGCTACTTGGGCCATTGAAGGAAAGGTCGAGGCAATGAGGTACTTTAGAATCCTCCAAACAGGAAAGAATTCCGCTGGGAGATATGCTTTGTACCTGTCTGGTTTTGAGATTTATGGTGTCCTACTTAAATTGTGAATGTACGGAGCAAGACAAGCTTCAAGAAGTTAGACATTGTATTTTGTTTGAGTCCGCTCGAAATTCCGGGCACAAAAGTACTTACCTCATTTGGAAGAATAAGAATTAGCTTACAAAAGATTGTTTTACTAGTTGGAGATTCACTAGGCAAAAGAGGAGTTATACGGAGTTATATATGGTAAACTAAGTTTGCTAAATTCAAAAATTGCAAGTGCGACAGGGTAATGTTTGATACGATACCCTTCAAAGGTCTGGCAGACCTCCGCAAGATATCAGAACCTGAAATAACACTATAAATCTATCATTATTAGAATTTGCTTTACTAAACATATATTAATCTTCCATTTAATAAGCAATTATCAAAAAATTGGAGTGTGTTTATATAGAGTGTGTTAGAATATACTTCATTGTGGTTTTTTCTTTATCTTCAGTCCTGTAGGCTGCATCCCGAACAGGGAGTGGAAGGCTAGGGGTCGTTGATTTTGCTCCGTAGGACGGACCTTAACTATGTTCGGGGTCTGAAGGTGAATAATAAATAATGAAAAAATGAAAAAGGAATAATGAAAAATGAAAAAAAATCAAAAATATCACTAAAGAATGATGCAAAAATAAATACAATGAATAATGGGGGAAAGACAAGAATACACCTTGTTCACCTTCAGAAACTGACTATGTGACAAAGCTAAAAGATATTTCAGCAAAAAATAATGATTTAAGTACTCCTATTACTCCCTTCCACCCGCCCCACTCTCCCTCCTCACCGTCACCCTTAGCCTACGGGCCTGTGCTTGAAGTTATCAGTATCATAAATAGTTTTATCATGGTACAAATATGAATTACATAATCAGTTGTTTGAAAAACCTTTAAAAGTGTGAAAACTTTCAAAACTCTCTTGGTAGTGCTGACAAATGTGTGTATCAAATTAAACGATTCTTTTCCTGTTAGTTTAAAAGTATTTTCTTTCCGTCCAACKCGTCTTTCCSGGTTTTACTCCCTCAGTAAAAACGAACCATTTCTATCTGATATGCTCCGCGTTCAGTCGTTCGTTGCTATGTAAAGGAAGCGCCTAGCCGGCAGCGCGCCTATGTGTCTGTAATATAGCACTTCGACTTGAGAGCGCGYCGAGCTGCGTCTTTCACAATACTCCCATTTCGAGTTCTGTCTTGCTCTGCGTTAGCCCAAGAATTTAAGCGATTTGAATTTGAAAAGAAAGAYAATAACATTGATTTGAAATCTCGCACTTTTATTCTTACAATTAGGAATATTTTGCGCACAAATGAGGCTAACACAGAGCATTGGAGACAATTCGAAACTGCATTATTCAGCACCCATGAAGGACGATTAGCCGGCCAACACCTTTTCCTTTTCCTATATTTGCATATATCGTGYTTTTAATTTCTTTGCAAAAATATTGAATATAAAGCTTTAAAACTTCTTTACAATGTCAATAATATTTAATTCCCTATCTTATGCAAATGAGTTTATTGTGGTCTGATGTCTTTACAACCTATTCGCGGTCAAAACCTCAAATAAACAAGAGTGCCAAGTAAAATCAAAAATTATTATTTTTTCACCAACAAAAATTATATGTTCTTGACATTGCAAAGGGATAAACAAGCTCAAAAATGACAACATTTTGAGTTAGTGCCCGATTTTGCCTCGCTCTGGTGCAAAACCACAGGCTYCTCGCGTAACTTGTTTCCTTTWTTCTTAATTCTTCTTATCAGAAAGCTAGTCCTTCTTTTATTACCAARCAAATAGATCAGAGGAAATCTTTAGTGAAAGCCATTCTCAAAGAAAGCAATAAAAAAGCATGGCTTTGAAGTATTCTAYGGGCTTCCTGTGTTTTCCTTGATTTTTCAGGTCCTGGGAAGGAGGTTGTTTATTGCGCTTTCGCGCTTCCCGGTCGGTTTTCTAATTTTCTCGAGTCCAAAGATCTAGTTTGACTTGTTGCAATTCTACGTCGGTCTGAATCATGGGAGCTACTATAAGTTATAGCCATGGTGAACCTCTTGAATCCTATTTAAGGAAATATAGGCCTTCTAAAGTAGACAGTAAACAGGCAAGTTGGATATATGTGTCAAGAAGCAATTCAAGCAATGACGACCAGTACATAGAGGAAAAGGCAGACATGAAAGGGGTTAAAGAAGAGTGGAATCGTATACAAAAGTCAGCCGAAAAACTAACTCAGAAAACCCTGAAAGACCTGGCGGTGAAATTCAATTTAAAAGTCGGGAAATGGATGATATTTGCACCCTAGTAAGTTACGTTTTTGACAAATCACATATCAACCTTTTCCTGATAAGTTATATAATATGTTTGACATTATGATGATGTAAGTACTTATTTAAGAATTTATGTTTTATTATGTGGTATTAGTCAAGTGCAAATGCTGACAAAAATTGTTCTTTGTGTTTTTTTTTTCTTCAAATTTGCCCAATGTTGTATATTGTTAAAAAGATAATTATTATTATATTTTATTATCATCATCACCATTATTTTTTTTCAAGAGCTAAAACACTTAAGTTATATTTATATATGTAGTATACAATTTTCATAAATTTTCTACTATTTATTTAATATAGATAATAAATTTAATAGGTAGAATGAAA